AAAAGAGCTTCGTATTGGTGCTACTGGGATCTCCTGGAGGGCGCTTGAAGGTGGAAAAACGATCAACGTGACAGCCTCCGAGATCAAATGGGCCGACTGGACGCGTGTAGCACGAAACTATCAACTCAAAATAGGTTTAAAAGACACATGGAAGAAGGAGACTTTCGAAGGCTTCACTCATGCCGTATGGATTCTTTCCCAACGTGATCCAGTTTTTATTTGCTGATAAATTGCTTCAAAGGATCAAGACTCTCTAGGAGACTTGATCAAACAGCATTTTGACGTCAATATGGACGTGAAAGAGATATCGTGGAGAGGCTGGAATTGGGGTTCAACTGATGTTCGAGGTAATACCTGTAACATTGGGGTATACTTGAAGTAACAAATCCTTTTAGGTACTGATCTCGTGTTCCTTGTGGGGAACAAACCTGCCTTTGAGATACCGCTGCCTACGGTGGCGAATTCCAATATTGCTGGCAAGACCGAAGTCTCCCTAGAGTTCATCCAACCTGACTCAAACGCGAACAAGACGGGAAAGAACGCTCCTGATGAGCTCATGGAGCTTCGTCTGTACATTCCAGGGACTCAGCAAAAGGATGATGACGACGAAAACGGCGAGGAGATCAGCGCTGCACAAATGTTCCACGAAACAATCAAGGAGAAGGCCGATATCGGACAAGTTAGTGGGGAGAGTATCGTCATCTTCCACGAAGTGCTCGTTTCAACCCCTCGAGGTCGCTATGACATTCACATGTTCCCTAACTTCCTAAGGTTACATGGGAAAACATATGATTACAAGGTCCCTTATAATACAATTGCGAGACTCTTCTTGCTTCCAAGAGCTGACGAGCAAAATATTTCCCTGGTGGTCAGTTTTTTTTATAGCGACACCAGGTTTTCCAACTCAGAAAACCCCCATAGATCAACCTTGATCCTCCGATCCGTCAAGGTCAAACAAGATATCCCTTCCTGGTCCTAGTCTTTAACCGTGACGATAACATGACAGCGGAGCTCAATATTGACGAGTGAGTAACGCTCTATTACAAATGTTACCTCGATTGACAAAGTCAGCGAAACTTTGCAGACAAAATACGAAGGAAAGTTAGAGAAGCAAGTTTTATTAACTACGTGTAAATCACAAAAATCGCGTGTATACTGACTTCCGTGTTCCTCTAAATGCCATATATCGGTGTATTCGGTGGTGGACATGTTGGGTTGGATATCGCAGGAGGCAGGACACGGCGAACCAAACAACACCCTTTTTCGCCACTTATCCTGATGTCGTTCAAGCCAGCATTCAGCTATTTAGCCGCAAAGGTATCGACCTTATATGTGAAATTACTGGATAAATAGTCTCATATTAGCATATTTCGCTTAGGAATTGGCCGCCCTCCTACGAACACCTGGTTAGTCAAGGCCTCATCTCCTAGAATGATCGTTTAATTGACGATTACAAGGAGTCAAGCTGGCAGTAGTCGATGTGAGAGACGATGATTATGAAGGTGGCCATATCCGAGGCTGCATTCATTCTCCATCGGCTACTTTCCTGGACGGCGGGGTTGAACGTCTTAGAGAGCAGCTGAAGGAGACGCCGATGGTTGTGTTTCATTGCGCTCTTTCTCAAGTGAGGTCAGTGGTTCATTTCCATCAAGTCAGTTGCCCATTTCTCATTCGTATCGTTTCACAGGGGTCCGAAAGCGGCAAGGGTATGTCTACTTGCTATCCTTTATCTACCTTATTCTTATCCCGTGTAAAGATATATGCGGAGACTATCGATGAAATCCGACGGAAAGGTGGTGATGCCCCCGTTTCGCAGGACATATATGTTCTCCGAGGCGGGTTTGGCGAGTTTCAAGCATTATATAAGGTGAATACCCATCCCACTTGTGAGGGTGGTTCACTGTAAACTGATTCAGCTACATAGAACGAAAAAGATCTCGTTGAAGAATATGATGCGGCTTTTTGGGATTATTAGACCTTCGAATGTTATAGATGGATAGATTAAGGGAAGTAGAAATGCATTTCAACATATCAGATATCAAATAGAAGAGTAAGGAAGGAAGAATATGAGCTACCCAAGACCCTCCAAGCACACCACGACGACTGATCGATCAGGTAAACAGCGTTATTCGTCGTGGCCAACGATAGGAGTCGCTGTTTTGTATGTTTTACTCAGAGATTAGGTTGAGGAACTTGTCACGCCGGAGCTAAGGACGGGACTATGAGCGTGCGGGTGGGCATAGGGCTCCCTGAAGGTGGGCCGTTGGGCATTGGGACCCCCGTACTCAAGGTCGGGCGTACAGCTGGGATCGGGATACAGATGGGCGTTCCAATCCCTAAAGATAGTGTTAGACCGACACATTTAAACAAGAGCTTGACATTGGGACGCTCACAAATGTCAAGGCAATTGAGGTGAGGGTTTGCCATAAAAATTTGGCCCCAATCTAAATCGCTATATCCATCGGTGATAGTGCTGCAATCATCTCCTTGGACGGAAATATATGTATCTTGGCACGGTGGATCGAATTTGCCGGGATAGAAGGCTGCAATACAGATAGGAGTGCCAACCCCTAGGTTTTATCTTTCGTCAGTACTAAAACCAGCAAGAGAACATAGATGATAAAAGGATCAAAGAAAGAGGAGGAAAATATGTGTCGAATTCAGTAAGCGGAGATGCAAAATGTACGTACAGATGTCATTGCAATTGAGGAAACTATTTGCAGTCGAGATATATATGGGATCAATACCATACTGGAGAGCGATCGAGTCACATGTATCTCCTTGTATAGAGATGTATCTTGCTCCGCAAAAGGGTAAGGTCATGACAGAGGACAGATACGGAATACAGATGGGAGTGTTTGTCCCTGGGGCGTTGTTAGTGTTGAAATTTGAACAAGTCGATACAATAAAAGGAAATTGGCTTGATAGCTCGTGGAGAATGGGGTCAGAACCGACAAGACGCTCACAAATATCGTTGCAATTCAAGAACGTATTCCAATCGAGAACTTCTTGAGGAGTTATGCCCCATCTACGCCCGATGCTTTGACAAGTATCGCCTTGATTAGATCTATAAATGGCTGCGCAGCCGCCGGATGGTTCTATGGGAGTTCTGTAGGGTGGAAGTGTTAATATAAGCGTTCCTTGGAGTATATTAATAGATACTGACATGGTAGGTGAGAATTGAGAGGCGGTCACAGGAGTCGTAGAAGCTGTTACAGTGATAGTGGAAGGAGGACTGGTTGGTGTTGCCTGGGGACTGTCTATGTAGACTACTGTCGTCTTCGGGGGAAGATTCGGGATACAGAGTAGAGTTCCAGGCCATAGGTCGTTACAGTTCACCCATGTGTTAGCATTCCAAATCTGGTAGTCGTATAGTCCCCACATATTGCCAATAGTACGGCAACTATCACCTCGAATGCTGTATTGTTGGGCCTGGCAGCGAGGATTGGTGGACAGGTCCTCAGGATAGACTACTGGGCCGTTATAAGTCATGTTAGGAACGCAAATCTGAGTCCCTGGCCCTATACGCCTCCGTTAGCAATCATGTACTAAAATGTTGGAGGAAAAGAGACATACAGATATCGTTACAATTGAGGAACGTATTCGCTTGGTGTATATTGTAGTCATACATCCCGAAAGCACCTCCAATTGACCTGCCTGTAT